CTTTTTGATGTATCACCATTAGCCAATTAATGGTAAACTTAAAACATGTATAAATATACTTTCTGACATTATGTGCATCATGTTCTTAAACTTGGAGACCAATTATCAGTTAGAGTCCATATGGGCATCATTTTTGGGTTATGATTATTTACTTTGACATTGCTTTCCTTCTAATTCTGATGGTGTTTTCTGATTTATGAAATTAAACAGCATTTAGCCATTAGGTCTTTTGTTTGCTGTGCTTTCTGTGAACCTGACTAACTTCAACCTTGTACCTGACTACAGAGGGTGGATGGATGGATTTTTACTAGTGGTCATGTTCCACTTTGTAAAACCTGTGCAACCACTCGCATTGAATTTTATTTGCATTTATACAGCATTTTGCAGGTCTCACATTAAATGCTGACTGGTAAACTGCAGGACCATTCTGGCTCGATCATGACTGAAACTGGTTGTGACATACAGCAGTGAGTTTTAGTGTTCATTCAATGGTCATCCACCGTTCAGTATAAGAATTTGTTCAGTGGGCCCCTCACATCCTGGTGTTGACATTGCAGGCCAATTGTTCCACACAGAGGTGTTCTTCTCTCCCAGAGGCTCCCAGGTGACCAGGACAGGAACAATGCCTTCCACTGTTGGTGAGACCTGAGGAGACTCACCGATCCCTAAAACGCTTGTGTTTACTGCTGTTTCTGGAGGCCGGATGTAGACGAGGACAGAAGGAGAAACATAGATAAATTTTTGATGCACATAAAACTGGAACAGTCCTTCTGCAAAAAAGTAAGTCTAGTCTAGCTCTCTGAAAAGTAAGTCTTGTTGAGGTCAGGCAGCAGACGGAAAGCCAGCAGACCTGTGGTCATTAGTGAGATATGGGGACATCTTATTGAGATACGGCTCCAGCCAAGCAAAGTCTGTGTAGAGGCTTGGTGGCACTGAGGTGACAACAGTTATGGTTCACCAAAGCATCACATAGCTTCAAACTCTCTAATGTTCCGTGTCATAGCAAATGGCCAAACTAAATGAAGATCTCATTCATCTAGACTTCATTAGTTTCCAGTAACTTTAAAGCATCTCTTAAAAAAAAAATGAAAGCTATATGAACCCTAAAATCACTTGGCCGTTATCTCAGTCACAGAACTTGCCTCTGAATTGATAAACTAGGATGTAGTCACGTTTGTTTGCCTTTCCCAGAGGAAGGATGTTATTTCTGAGAGGTTACTGAGATTTTGGAGAGCACTCAGAATTCACTGTAACAGGCAAAGTCACTTTCGTACACATGCAAAGTATCCAATTAAACAAGGTGTAAAGGCCCAAAATCTCCATTTTATAAAAGTTGAGGAGTAACAAATTGGTTCTTCCATTAACACGGGATTCTAATTTGGATGTGGCAGTTATAAAGGTTTCATTGTTATTCTGCGTACTCTGAAGACTCAGGATCTGATGTTTAAGATGCAGGACAGCAGCGCATTGGTGGTCGTGCTAGGAGACCTGATCACGCTCCAAAAGTGTCAGGAATGCACAGATGATTAAAAGGCAACATGTTTGTGAAGTGGCAATGTGTAACCGGGAGCTAGTAGGTTTATGTCCCCAAAGGAAGGAGGGCCACTAGTACAATGTGTCTAACTTGGATTACTTCAGTTAGCATTTCCAGCCATGTCAATGGGTTAGTCGCTAAGATAAATTTTGTGGGGGGAAGGGAGAAAAAGGAAATCGTGGATTGAAAAATACGAAGAAGCACTCTATATATGCGTGTGTGTGTGTGTGTATAAATTACCTTTAAAAATGTAATGAAGGATATCTAGCATAGCTGCTGTGATGTCAGGTTAACACTACCTATCTGAAAAAGGTGGTATTATGATCTGCATCTATTACATGCTGGTCAGTCTTTGTTCCCTATGAATTTTTTTTTAAATCCATTCTGAGGTGTGAGTGACTGTAAACTGGCTTCCTGGTTAGTGTCAGGCTGTCCAATCATAGATGCTTTATTCGGGTGGGACTATCCAGCAGTTCGAGACCATGCAGCTTTATACAGCCAAACAAAATTACAATTTCAGTTAGATATTTGCTACATGCCTGTAAAGACGGTACCATGAATGCTGAGTATTACTTTATCACATGTAGGTTCAGTGCCGGTCAACTCTTTAGGTGGCACAGGTGGCCACCAGGGGCGCTATTCTCTGAGGGGGCACCGGCTTTGCCCTTCACTAAGCTGCCACAGTGTTTCTTTTTTGGTTTTCTAACATTTTATTAATATGCTTTTATTTAAACCCAATATGCATACCAAGATTAATATTATATAGTCAGATTAGACATCACCTTTTCTGGCTTTACAATCAAAGCCCTTGGTCTTTAATTAGGTACTAGCATGAAAAAGTGTGAAACTGAAATAACTCCAAAATAATGTTTTACATTAAGGTAACATCTACAGCAACGTTGGAGGGTTGAATGCAGTCCTAGTTAATGTACTGTTGGATTAATTATAAAAAGTCTCTAATTACGGAAATGTACCTACTGGTATATTTACAATATAGGTTGTTGAAGAGTTATTTAGGATTATCCTTAAAGCATGTTTGTGGAGGGATGTATGCACCTGGATATGATTGTTGGCTTGTTTGTAGTTAAAGATTTGGGTACAAATGCATGTAGAAGCATGTAGTCAGCTGAGGCCACCTTGAAAAAACACCCTCCCCTTATTACAAATGCTGTTCATGGCTGGATGTAGATTCTCTCAAAAGTGTTTGCTGGCATTGCATTGTCGTCATGCTTTCATCTTTGGATGGAGAAACTTTGGAGATACACTCATGTTATATGGCTTCTAAATAAATAAACAAACGAACGAATGAATGAATGAATGAATGAATGAATGAATATAGGGGCTCACATCTCCAGGATTGGTGGCACCTGTTTGTAATTTTGCTGTTCCACTCATGCTGCTCCAGTAGTGTGGTACTTTCTAAATCACCCATTGATTGCCAGTATGATTGTGTGCAAGTTCATGCCCTGCGATGAACTGGCATCCCACCTCCCAGTGACTCCAGATACCCAGTTTAAAATGGATGAATGAATGAATGAATGAATGAATGAATGAATGAACGAACTATCCTCCTTATATTCTATCTTACCTGCACTGTGTAATGAATTCAAATGGGTGAGAATAAGCTGGGATAAATATGAGTGCCAGTGTGATTCTACCAGCCGTGACCGAGTAAGCATTGCACACAGAAGGCTTAGAATCCTCTAAAAATATTGGCGAAGTCATGTTGCTTTGAGCTCATTAACGGGAAATGCAGAGTCAGCCCTAAGAGTGTGTCGCATATTTACATTCCTACTTGAAATTCCTTCCTCGGACACGTCCAGTGGTAAAACCTGATTTCCATCATGGGTGTACTGTATATCTTTAGTGCTGATTATATTTACATAGCGACCCCCTCGCTTTCTTGCCGTCTTGTCCTTTTAAGAACACCTTTAAAACGGCATTTGCAAACGTCGCTTCGATCTGGCATTAGTAAGGCGTATTGCATCGCGCTCTTTATCGCGAAATAGCCATGCAATAGCGTTCAGCATTAAAGCTACGCGTCCATCCGCAGATCAGGACCTCGGAGAGCTCCCGCCTTCCGATCCCTCTTATGATTCCGCCGCATAACGATAAAACGATCGGACTAGCACTGTAGCAGCCTAACTGGCACGATACCTTTCAGACCTTTTCAACTTTAACTTAGTCATTATATTCTCCTTTTAGCTTGGATTCATTCCCGCAAAAACCGACGTAATGTAAGCACATGCAAAACGAGACCCTGGTCTGCAGAAATATATTAGGAACTAATCAGATAATGAATATTCAGATGTCCTATGCAGATCGTTACAAAGGTCTCAGCGCATAGGGTGGCTCAGAATTTTATTAAACCTGTCTTTTCGCTTTTCAGAGAAATAAAACTATCGTAATTGTGCCAATGAATGCAAAAACGAGCATATAGGCTACATAAATAAAGAATGCCCTAATGTATACAAAAAGCGTAATGGACATTGAAATCAACAGAGCAACTACATTTTTTAATTTTGCCCGTTCTGGTGAACAGAATATCCGAAAGCCAGCCGGTGGTGGGTGTTCATGTATGTCTGTATGTCTGTGGGTGCGTGAATGTGCCTTTCAGACTCCTGTGATGGGCATTGAGAGAATGATTTTGAGATCATAGGCCCATAGCCTGTAGATGGCAGAAGCGTCCTTCTGCACTACTATCTTAACCCTGAAAATATATTTTCAGCCTGGAAGTTTAAAAAAAATGCTAGGTAAATTAGATCAAGTTACGCTGTACCTATTTCATTAGAAAACTCATCTCTGCTGGTCTTAAAATCGCATCGGTTTATTTATTTATTTTTTTACATTTTTTTTATTATTAATTCTGTGAACAATTCTTCAGTTCCGCAGAGGTAAATATAGGATTTATCTGCTCAAAAATAACTTCTTTTTAAAGCGGAGGTAAAATTTATATAGGTGCTAAAATTAGCAAAATTAGAACCTATACTATATTAATTTGTCAAATGGCCACAGCTTTAATGTATCATAAACGATGGAGGTTGTAATTGAGATGCCATAAGAGACGATTGCAACCACTTAATTCTGCGCAATAATTATTGCCGTTTGACCAATTTCACAGATACGTAAAAATAACTTGAATTTGATCAAAAGCACCCCCTTTGCACGCATGTCAGTCTCGTCTATTTTTGTATATAGATATATATTTCATTACTTGCTCGCTTGGTGGCTGATCTAATTTTGCCCGGGTAGATCTCTTTCTTAATCATTTAACGCATTATTGTCTTTGTTTAGGTGGAAATATTTGCGGGGAAACGAAGTCAGAAGAGATGAAAAGTTATTAAGCGAGGATAGACTTGCAGGAGTAGCGGGGAGGCTCTGTGCCCCTTTTGGAGAGATGGTTGAGTCCTCGTCAAGGTTGCTGTGGTATCCCAGAACCGCCGCTCACTTGGAGCTGTGACCGCAAACCAGCTAGAGCGGCAGCACACACTGCGCCGGCTGAGGAATAGCCACCGAAAAACACTCACTAGCTTGATGTGAATATGAAAGAAATTAATAAAGAGGGTTACTACGCAAGGTCGGCGGAAATTTTCCACATTTTCAAAAGAGGATGTATTAAATGTGGTCTAGCGGACTTTTTTCTAGCTAAGAAAATGCGGATTAAAAGCGGAGTTATATTTTGGAATCTCGTTTTTTTAATGATGATCACATGTGTGCGAGGTCAGTATTCACCCGTCGATTGCATTTAATACCGTAATGGGATTAATGTTACATTGTTGCTAAAACAAGGCGAAATCTGTTTTGTATGAGAAGATCCGGCTGTGCTGCAAAAATCCATGAAAATAGGTTGGAGTTAAGGGATCGCATTTACTTGCCAGGCGCGCAGTTCAATGCAGGCATTGAGCGGGGGCTCAATAAATATTCTTGCAGTATGCTCAAGCCGATACGTGAGTTGCTTCAAATGCCTATTAACTAGTGAATTGTTTGGGATTATCACATACTGCAAGTTGTGCGTTTTGCTATGTTTTATGCGTGTTGGATTCGTGTGAACGCGGTTCTGTGACATTTTACACTGTTTCTAAAAAAAAATTATGGAACGTTAACGTGTCGCCTTTTAAAATTCTTTACGTTAAATACATACCGTGGTTCAAACATCCGAGGATTTTCCTTTAAAACCCTTAAACGACAGAAAATGTAAAGCTGCTATCGGGTCTTTAGTTATATTTAAGTACAAGATAATTCTCTCTGACTTTAATGGACCATATTTTACACTGTGTTCACACTCCTGGCTTACCGGGGTTTTATGAAGAAAATCATTAAGCGGATGGGGAATTCGTGAGATGTGCAGTATAAGAAAACGCAAAGATATGGGTCCCACTATGTTTGGATGTCATTAAAGGGCTTTATCTATAAAAGCAAAGTGTTAGTTAAAACACACACGCTATTGACAGAAAACGTGTGATCGCCACCACGCATCTCTCAAGCAAAACGGGACGATCCCTGTGTTGATCTCAATACTGGATCCTTTCTTGTACTGTGATTTCACCCTTTTAACTGTTGCGCTCTCTAAACGTTTAGACAAAGGGGATTTAGATATGGGTTACCGATGGGAGTGATGATTATTATTCAGCAAGATCATTTTCCAAACGCAAGCCCAATGCTGAGAGAGAAAATATCGCGTTTGTGTACTAGGAAATTTCTGCAGTCTGATCTTTTATTATGTAGGTAGACTGGTATACGATCTCCCAGTAGCCTACTGTTACATCACTTGTGATCGTTTTGCCAATTGAATCAACGTTTCAGTCCTACATATTTGCGTCTGAAAAGCAAAAAATGCATTATCAGTATAACGGAAAATATTTAATACATTGAATACATATCTCTTGAATATGGCGTTTTGGTTTAGTTGGAAGGGCGGACGGGAGGATATATAAAGATATAAAGAAATAGGGGGCGAAAGGATACTGGACATTGCAAATTGCATTGCATGTCAGTGTGTTGGATTCTGCATATATGTAATTCAGAGACGGTTTTATTATGCCGGTTCTGCGCGCGTATCTTGCCTAAGTTAGGCAACGTCTTTCCTTAGTATCGCCGGTGATATTTGCGGCATCGATGTCTAGCAGAACGTGAATCTCTTAGACCTGGACTCTTGATAATAGGACATCATGCGTTCAGCTCCTCGATGGACATGCCGGGCTTATACTTTAACAGTTTATTTAATTCGATACAATTTAGTTATTTAAAAAAAATATTTGAAAAGTAATCTACAGTCGCCTTTCTCGCTTGTCTGCCGATAACCTAACGCGTGGTGGCAGTGTAAGGAGATACCGCCAATAATTCATACAATCAACTAAATCCGTAAACCACACGGAAAGGAAGAGAAACTTCCTTATAATATGTATCCGATCACCCGATTTAGCACCCTGAGATGCCTTACCACCTGCATCTACTGGGGTAAATGCCCCCCGCAGTTAGATGCCAGTAGAACACGCTGTTAGCATACCTATATCCACATTTACACTGGGAAGTAATGGAGGGTCTCACCATCGATGCGTAAAAAAGCCTCTTCGGGGCATCGCTAAAATCCCCGGTTTTAACCTTTTAGGTTACTGTCATTGGTTATTTCCCCCGTATAAAAGCAACAGCGCCGGTGGCAAGGAAGTATTTTCTTTATTAAAATATCTTATCCACCTAAGCCATTAAGGTAGGCTGTTCAGTATGCAAATGGTGGCTTCTGAAATTCAAAACCCGCTACTCCTAATAGGGCATCATTACTATTAGTGTTCTATTAATATTCTGCATATTGATGATTTATTTTGTTATTCTGCCATTAGGCGTCGGCAGTTTTAATCTGACGCATGCCGCGGCCGAATATTGCGAACCGCATGTCGTTTCTATATGCGTCACTCATTCAGTGAGTAAGTTCCGCAAGGACAGGCTGTATAGCGCCCGGCGAGCGCATTAGTGACGGGGCTCTTGTGGCTTTTTTACCTCTGACCCTGGAGGCTGAATACCGGCTGCGCCAAAGTAGAGAAACATTAACATATTAAACTCCATGGCTGCACATTTCGATTTCATGCACGCATTCCCGGTTACAGTCAGTTCTTTCATTTCGAAATCGTAAACTGCATCATAATGCTTGTCAAATCATAATGCTTTATGTGTAGAATTATAATTTTAGAGTTTTGTATATTTTAGTACGACAATAGGTTTTACTTTACCGGATATTTATTTATCATTTTAATATTACATAGTATTTTGTGATTTATAATTTTTGTAACGCTGTTCGGTCGATTGTGTTATCGTGATATTCGTGTCTGGTTTTGCTATTTGTGGCCCCTAACATGACTTCTGTCCAGCGACAGCTGCCTGAAACCGGCCGCGGAATTGGCGGTCGCAGGGCCAGAGGGCTTCTGGAGTCGAAACCCTGTAAAGGAGACCTGTCACTCCCACCGTGTTCATTTTCATTGTGCGTAACAACATTCATTAGCTGATACATTTGACAGTTGTATTTGTCAGCCGTGATTGATAGCAGTGATTGTTCAATCAAGTTCCCATTCAAGAAACCGTGTTATACTCTCACTTAAAAAAATGCCAAATATATTTGGCAAAAAATGTCTGAAGCTGATGTTCTGATAATGACAGATTGGCAGTCTCATTCAATCTAATTATCATGGCTGTGAACTCTCCCGGTATCTCAGGCGTTTATAATTTGCCGTTTTATGGCCGACAGTGTCAATAACTGTGACCTGTGGCTCACTTTCTTTGTGCTGCTTTTCGCTTAGATTTTTCTGTTCCCAAAGTCCTCTAAGTCAACCTTGTTCTCTGATACACGTGGAGCAGTTTAACATAAATGAGGTGGTACAGTATATAACAAGTGGGAAACAAGCGCTAACTAGCTGAAAAGTTTGAAACAAACAAGCGATTCTCAATGACAGTCAGAAGAAAATAATTAGTAATACGGACCTATAAGGGCAGTGGGGAGGGGGGAGGGGGGTTCACCTTTAAAATAAGATGGCTTCAGATACCGAGCTGACACATTTGTGAGAGGAAGTATATGCTTGAAGGTATCAGATAATTTCTTCAGAAATGCCTTTGCACTCTTCTCTGCATTTTTCAGAGCATGGCAAGCTGCCTACGTTTTTGCGCGTATCTCAGTTTCACGGTCAGAATGGAAGTGAAATGAATTTCCAAGCTGGGCCGGTTTGCAGAGCAGATGTAGGGTCCGCTTTTGGGTCTCCTCTTGCCTAGAGTGGTGGGGGCTAATCCGCGTACAGCAGTGTTTCCCAGTCCGGTCCTCAGGGACCCACAGCAGGTCCAGGTTTTTGCTCCCTCTGAGCTCCCTGCCAGACGGTAAACAATTTTGCTCCCTCCCATCTCGCTGCCGGGACTGTCTGTGGGTCCCTGAGGGCTGGTTTGGGAAACACTGCTGTATAGAGATGAGACACATCTTGCAGGTCCACCAGAGCCCAAAAACAATGCAGGCAAGACATATAAACAGATCATTTAATGTGACCACTGAAGACTAAGACCAAGCATTTGTAGACTTTGCAAGGGGGCCTGAAATATAAGGCATAAAAAGAGCGACAATTCCTCTGGCCCAGTAAATTAATGGCTGTCCGGTCTATTGGAACTATAAAGAGCCTTAGTTTTGAGGTTTAGTACCTGTTGGCTGACACCAGGAGTGTCATTTTTCACTCTCCTCTTAGTGGAAGTGCTTTGAGCTTCAGGAGACCTCAGGTGCTACAGGAAATGAGAGTCGGTGCTGCGGTGCTGCGTGCAGGAAGCCACATGGCACCGAAGTCACAGCAACACGCAGCGCGTTTTTACAAGGATGCGCTGCTTTCCTTTCCATTATTCATACACAAGTTTGCCAGTAATAATTCAGAATTGATTGTATGACTTAGGCATGTTTTATGTATAACAGTGTTTGTCACCCAGCATGCTGTGGCAGAGGAATGGTTGGGAAGCACTGATGTATATCATAAACACGACTTTCTGACTCTGATACCGAATATGAAGTCTCCTTTATTATAATTATTTACATCACATCGTTATTGTATTTATCAATTTTGCCTTTTGTCTTTCACTGAAGCATTTATACTGTCTGTGATTTTCCCACATGTTGCTTTCTAGCAAGTCCTGAATATTTTATCACTCAATACAAAGATTCTCCATAATTATTGCCATTATTTCCTCTCTTGTTGAGGTTCTGAAATAATATTCCTGTGCTGTCTGTGAAGGAGTGATAGTCCTGATTTATCCAACAGGTTGTGGGTATTCCTCTGTCTGGAATGTCTTTCTTTAGCAATCATCTGGCCTATTCATCTTGCTTCGTGGTCAAAATACAATACAAACATATTATGCTTTTGGTGTTTAATTGAATAGGGTTCTAATCATAGGCAAACTGTAAACATATATATAGTATGGTTCTCATCTCAGGTTTTTCTATATATTCTGATGCTGTATGATTACTCTTTCTATATTGTCCTGTGGTGTAGGGGTTTTGCTGAAAATGCAATAATATAATGGAATAAACAAATTGTTTAGTAATACGTCATACTAGCATTTCTTGTCTAGTAATACGTCATAGGGTACTTGCATCACTTTGTGGCTTTATTTTTGCAAATGTTTTGTGTGTTCATCTGCATGGATATGTGTGTATCTCAGGCTCCCATGGGCTGAGGTCGTGTTGATTGTCTCACGCGCATCACACC